GTGGATATCTCTGCAGACAGGCTGTTGTTTAGAGAAGTGTTGTAATCCCTGCATAGGAGGCACCCTGTTTCCAATGTCTACTTCCAGCTAGCGGCCCTCTCAGTGTGGTCTCTGTTGACAGAGAAACCATCTGGGATTCACTGACCCTCTGCCTGCTAACACATGGACACCAGCAGTGGAGAGGTCTGGGGGACCAGAGGGATAGACAACCAGGCTTGGAACTGGTAATCCCCTTCAATATAGGTAACAGTGAGGGACACAAAGGACACGTCTCAAATGACACCCTATTCCCTATTTAGTGCACTACTTTTGACCAGAGCCAGATTGGGTTAACCATATAAGTAGAGCACTATGTAGGGAATAGAGTGTCATTTAGGACGTAAACCAGGGAGAAATTCAACTGTGTGGCTAAAATAGTGAGGAGGACTTAGTCACATTGTCCTTCAATAATCATTCTCTCTCAGAAGACCCATAGCCTCTGTTGTAAAGCTACACTGTAACCAGAACCCATTGGGTTACCTTTTAAAATGTTCCATCTTATTAAACGTCATTACATACATTCTATTTGGAAACACTAGCTTACTGTACGATTTTGAAATCCTTTCCCTCTCTGAATGTCTCTCTTGTTAAAAGAATTTGGTAGAGTGATTTGTAGTTATAGATGGATTTGAATTATTAACAGAGTCTATTCACTCTCTTATCTGAGCTCGGTATTTATATTAATTAGCCTATAAAGGCATTGAACATTGACTTGAGAGACTGTGTTATCGTGTTCTGAGATGGGAGTGTTGGCTCAGCCATGGTCTTGGAGTAGTCTGAGTTTTGGGCTTCTCTCTCTCTCTCCTCTCTCTCTCTCTCTCTCTCTCCTCTCTCTCTCTGTCTCTCTCTCGCTCTCTCTCTCTCTCTCTCTCTCTCTCTCTCTCTCTCTCTCTCTCTGCCTCTCTCTCTCTCTCTCTCTCTATCCCTCTCTCTCTCCCTCTCTCTCTTGGCATCGAATAGTCTGAGTCTTGGGCAGAATCCCACAGAACATATTTAGTGCTTCAGTTTTCAGTTCTCTGCTCAGTGTGGGCAGGATAGGCATTTATTCATCCTTCTCTCACACTCTTTCTTTCTCTCTCTCTCTCTCTCTCTCTCTCTCTCTCTCTCTCTCTCTCAATTCAATTCAATTTTCAATTTAAGGGCTTTATTGGCATGGCAAACATATGTTAACATTGCCAGAGCAAGTGAAGTAGATAATAAACAAAAGTGAAATAAACAATAGAAATTAACAGTAAACACTCACAAAAGTTCAAAAAGAATAAAGACATTTCAAATGGCATATTTTCAAATAGTTAAAGTACAAAAGGGAAAATAAATAAACATAAATATAGGTTGTATTTACAATGGTGTTTGTTCTACACTGGTTGCTCTTTTCTTGTGGCAACAGGTCACAAATCTTTCTGCCGTGATGGCACACTGTGGTATTTCACTCAATATATATGGGAGTTTATCAAAATTGGTTTTGTTTTCGAATTCTTTGTGGATCTGTGTAATCTGAGGGAAATATGTGTCTCTAATATGGTCATACATTTGGCAGGAGGTTAGGAAGTGCAGCTCAGTTTCCACCTCATTTTGTGGGCAGTTTGCACATAGCCTGTCTTCTCTTGAGAGCCAGGTCTGCCTACGGCGGTCTTTCTCAATAGCTAGGCTGTGCTCACTGAGTCTGTACATAGTCAAAGCTTTCCTTAAGTTTGGGTTAGTCACAGTGGTCAGGTATTCTGCCACTGTGTACTCTCTGTTTAGGGCCAAATAGCATTCTAGTTTGCTCTATTTTATTGTAAATTCTTTCCAATGTGTCAAGTAATTATCTTTTTGTTTTCTCATGATTTGGTTGGGTCTAATTGTGTTGCTGTCCTGGGGCTCTGTGGGGTCTGTTTGTGTTTGTGAACAGAGTCCCAGGACCAGCTTGTTTAGGGGGCTCTTCTCCAGGTTCATTTCTCTATAGGTGATGGCTTTGTTATGGAAGGTTTGGGAATCGCTTCCTTTTAGGTGGTTGTAGAATTTAACGACTCTTTCTTGGATTTTGATAATTAGCGGGTATTGGCCTAATTCTGCTCTGCATGCATTATTTGGTGTTTTACGTTGTACACGGAGGATATTTTTGCAGAATTCTGCATGCAGTCTCAATTTGGTGTTTGTCCCATTTAGTGAATTCTTGGTTGGTGAGCGGACCCCAGACCTCACAACCATAAAGGGCAATGGGTTATAACTGATTCAATAATTTTTAGCCAGATCCTAATTGGTATGTCGAATTTTATGTTCCTTTTGATGGCATAGAAGGCCCTTCTTGCCTTGTTTCTCAGATCGTTCACAGCTTTGTGTAAGTTATCTGTGGCGCTGATGTTTAGGCCGAGGTATGTATCATTTTTTGTGTGCTCTAGGGCAACGGTGTCTAGATGGAATTTGTATTCGTGGTCCTGGCAACTGGACCTTTTTTGGAACACCCGTATTGTGTCCTACTGAGATTTACTGTCAGGGCCCAGGTCTGACAGAATCTGTGCAGAAGATCTAGGTGCTGCTGTAGGCCCTCCTTGGTTGGAGACAGAAGCACCAGATCATCAGCAAACAGGAAACATTTGACTTCAGATTATTCTAGTAGGGTGAGGCCGGGTGCTGCAGACTGTCCTAGTGTCCTCGCCAATTCGTTGATATATATGTTGAAGTGGGTGGGGCTTAAGCTGCATCCCTGTCTCCCTGTTTTTTGCCAATTTTAACCAAACAATTTTATAATGTTGTATGTTTTTCCCCCAACACCACTTTCCATCAATTTGTATAGCAGACCCTCATGCCAAATTGAGTCAAAAGCTTTTTTGAAATCAACAAAGCATGAGAAGACTTTGCTTTTGTTTTGGTTTGTTTGTTTGTCAATTAGGGTGTGCCGGGTGAATACGTGGTCTGTCGTATGGTAATTTGGTAAAAAAGCCCAATTTGACATTTGTTCCTTTTCGTTCCCTCGCTTTCCCTGGTTTGTCTCACTCTCTCTCTCTCTTTCTCTCTGGTTTGTTTTCTCTTCTTCTTCTCTCCTCTCTTCTCTCTCTCCCTCTCCCTCTCTCTTTCTCTCCCTCTCTCCCTCCCTCTCTTGGCATCGAATAGTCTGAGTCTTGGGCATAATCCCACAGAACATATTTAGTGCTTTAGTTCTCTGCTCAGTGTGGGCAGGATAGGCATTTATTCATCCTTCTCTCGCGGGTCTCCTCTCTCGTCCCCTTCTCTCTCTCTCCCCTCTTTCCTCTCTCTCTCTTCTCCTTCTCTCTCTCTCCTCTTCTCTCTCTCTCTGTTTTCCTGTTTTGTCTCTCGCTCTCTCTCTCTGTCTTGTGTCTGTCTGTCTCTCTTTTCTTTTCTCTCTCTCTCTCTCTTCTCTCTCTGTCTCTGTCTCTCTCTCTTTCTCTCTCTCAGTCTCTCTCTCTCTTTCTCTCTCTCTCTCCGTCTCTCTCTTTCTTTCTCTCTCTAATGACCTATTTTGCTAGGAACAGATAAGATGTCTCTCCATGGTGCATCTATTTCATCGGGATGTGAACAGCTCGGTCTTCCAGGAGTTATACTAGATTTGGCAACAGCAAAAAAACAGAAAACAACACACAACTAACACACACCTAACACACAACACAACACACACACTACACGACAAAGAACACTACACACAACACAACACGAACCACAACCACGCCCCAAACACTAACACACCTACATACCCACTACGCCCAACACACTCCTACAACCCCTCACTACACACCACACACTAACACAACCCCACACACTACTACTACTAACACTACTACCACACTACTACTAACACTATACTACTAACACTACTACTACTAACACTACTACTACTACTACTACTACTACTACTACTACTAACACTACTACTACTAACACTACTCAGTACATTCAACCTGAATAAGTCATTTTAAATTGGAGGAGATTCACTTTAATGGTCCACTTGGCCAGAGATAAGGGATACCTTGTGTCTATTCTCATCAGAGCTGTTCTGACACTCTGGGTTTGATGTAGGGATGGTGTTGCTGATAGACCTCACACAGACACACACACACACACACACACACACACACACACACACACACACAGATAGATACAGCAGACCTTGGATCCAGCAGCCCCATGTGAGAATTACCAATGGGGCTTGGAAATTAAGTGATGCACTTCAGGACCTAATTCAAGATGAGTTAATAACACATTTTAGAAAAAGAGAGAGGCAGAGAGAGAGAGACAGAGAGAGAGAGAGAGAGAGAGAGAGAGGAGAGGCAGAGAGAGAGAGAGAGAGAGAGAGAGAGAGAGAGAGAGAGAGAGAGAGAGAGAGAGAGAGACTAATTCTACAGTGTGCGGGTATCTATGTATTCCTTTTCTTTAATGTACTTTTAGTACCCAACACCTGGCTAACATCAGGATATGTGGATGGTCCACTGCTTTTGAAATGATCTGAGGAGGATCCCAGAGGAGAGATTCTGATGCCCCTGAAAATACATCTATTCAGGTCATTCCTGCTTTTTAGTGGCCTGCTGGTGTGCATGCTCCCTTGATGAGAAATCCTACCTGAAACCTTAAGATTTGCATTAGCCCTGAGAGTTATTTTCTAGGGCTTTAGCTCAGTGGACTAACACTGTCTTGTGGCGCGAAGAAGACCTGGATTCGAACATAGTCAGTCACACTAATTAGGGTTACTGTCACTGGCGCCCCATCATCAGTGGGATCCACAGGAGGCTGGTGACACCTCAATTAGGGAGGATGGGCTCGTGGTAATGGCTGGAGCAGAATCAGTGGAATGGTATCAAATACATCAAACACATGGTTTGATGCCATTCCATTCGCTCCGTCGCAGCCGTTATTATGAGCCGTCCTCCCCTCGGCAGCCTCCACTGGTGGGATCCCTCTGTGTTACACTCTCTCAAACCCACTGACACGCTGTCTTCCAGGAGACCAATGAGCTGGTGGCCATAAAGAAGTTTAAAGACAGTGAGGAGAATGAACAGGTTAAAGAGACCACGCTGCGGGAGCTGAAGATGCTGCGGACCCTGAAACAGGAGAACATCGTGGAACTCAAAGAGGCTTTCAGGAGGAGAGGGAAACTCTACCTGGTCTTTGAATATGTGGAGAGGGTCAGTGAATACCTAGAGGATTAACCTTTTCAGTGATAATGTTTAATAAACCAGAATAGTCTAGTCAGTAAAAAAATGTCCACTACTTTCTAGGGAGTCCTGGGATCCAATGTTGGTTGGATGATAAGTAATCATGCGTGCAATATACTTAGCTACTGTTTATGTCATCAGTTAAACTTTTACACTTTTTAGAATTTTGCCAATATTGCCATAGTATCTAACTTGTCATTTCGTTTGGCTAAGGGGTTGGATTTGTGGCATATGTTATACAGAGCATTATGGGTAATGTAGTTGTAGCTGTGATTGACAGTAGTACTGTGGATTCTGTGTTCCAGAACATGCTGGAGTTGCTGGAGGAACTGCCTAACGGCGCACCACCTGACAAAGTGAGGAACTACATCTACCAGCTGATCAAAGCCATCCACTGGTGCCATAAGAATGAGATCGTACACAGAGGTGAGGAGCTCTTACCTTTACTGAAAGGAAGTCACCCTTTCCTTTCGTTATGCTAAGATAATGTGTTTAGTCAGAGGCAGGGCCTCCCAGCAGAGATGGTTTGGTCTGACTTTTGGTTTTGCCAAGTACCAGACTGCTGCCGTGTGTGAAAACTGGTCTCCTCTGTTTCTGCTCAGACATCAAGCCTGAAAACCTCCTCATCAGCTCTGAGGATGTTCTCAAACTCTGTGATTTTGGTAAGTAGAATTTCTCATTTCTAGCATAGTTATTAACTCAGTACATTTGATGTATGACGATCTCAATGACGATCTCAGTCTCCCTGGTCAGCAATAGTCAGTATCTGTCCATGACTTCCTCTGTCTCACTCTGGCCTGGTTTCCTGTAGGCTTTGAGTCAGTATCTGTCCATGACTTCCTCTGTCTCTCTCTAGCCTGGTTTCCTGTAGGCTTTGAGTCAGTATCTGTCCATGACTTCCTCTGTCTCTCTCTGGCCTGGTTTCCTGTAGGCTTTGAGTCAGTATCTGTCCATGACTTCCTCTGTCTCTCTCTGGCCTGGTTTCCTGTAGGATTTGAGTCAGTATCTGTCCATGACTTCCTCTGTCTCTCTCTGGCCTGGTTTCCTGTAGGCTTTGAGTCAGTATCTGTCCATGACTTCCTCTGTCTCTCTCTGGCCTGGTTTCCTGTAGGATTTGCCCGCAACCTGTCAGAGGGAACTGATGCCAACTACACTGAGTATGTGGCCACTAGGTGGTACCGCTCTCCTGAACTACTGCTGGGGTGAGTCCCATTAAACCTACTGGACGTGTTTGTGGGTGTGTATGAGGCGCTGTGTGTGTGTGTATTGGTGTATGTGTGTGTGTGTTTGTATTGGTGTGTGCATTGGTTTGTGTGTGTGTTTGTATTGGTGTGTGTGTGTGTGTGTGTGTGTGTGTGTACATTGATAAGTGTCTGTTTGTCTGCATAGCTGTCAGTCCATACATATATCGTTCTCTGAATATTTCAATGTGTCTATGTCTATATGTGTCTGGTCTTGATAAACCCTGGTTTAATATGTATAGTACAGAGACAGTAAGGTTGCTGTGTCCGTTTCATCTGCTAGATAATGGAACATCATGTGGTGGGGCTCCTTCCTCTCCCCCAGCAACTAAATGAACTGCTACATTTATTGACACTTGGTATTTGAATTCCGCCCACGCAAATATTGTCTCTCTTCCTCTCTCTTCCTCACTCTTCCTCACTCTCAGCGGCTCTCTGCTGAAAATGTGTCTTTCAGCCAGGCAGCTTCCTCTCTTCTCCTCTCAGCCAGCCTCTCTCGTTCTCTCTCTCTCTCGCTCTCTCTCTCTCTCTCTCTCTCTCTCTCTCTCTCTCTCTCTCTCTCTCTCTCTCTCTCTCTCTCTCTCTCTCTCTCTCTCTCTCTCTCTCTCTCTCATTTCTGTCATTGTGTTCATCACCTTCTGCTGAATCAACATCATCATCATCATCATCATCATCATCTGTCCTTATTATTCTGTATTTAAACATCTTCTGGTTCAGTTTTGGAAATGCATCACCTCCCTCTCTCTCTCTCTCTCTCTCTCTCTCTCTCTCTCTCTCTCTCTCTGTATCTATCTCTCTCCCTCTACCTCCCTCTCCCCCTTCCACCCCAGGGCCCCCTATGGTAAGGCGGTAGACATGTGGTCAGTGGGCTGTATCCTGGGGGAGCTGAGCGATGGTCAGCCTCTGTTCCCAGGGGAGAGTGAGATAGATCAACTCTTTACCATCCAGAAGGTTCTGGGTCCTCTACCTGCTGAACAGATGAAGCTGTTCTACAACAACCCTCGCTTCCATGGACTACGGGTAAGGTCAACTCTGGGGTCGATCTGTTCAGCTGTTCTTTCCTCACCTCACACTCTACCTCCGCTTTCCTCTCTTCTCCCATTTCTTCCTCTCTACCTCTACCTACCCCACCTCTCCCTCCCTCTCCATTCTCTCTCCTCTCTATCTAGCTCGTCTCTCTCCATCTCCTTCCCTCTCTCTCTCTCCATCTCTCCTCTCTCTCTTTCCCACCTATCTCTCTGTGTGAATCCTGATGGCTAACTTCCCAGTGCGGTCCGTGACTGAGTGAATTGACTCATCATGTTATGCTGGTGTTCAGTCTTACTGTAGGAGAGAGAGAGAGAGAGAGAGAGAGAGGAGAGAGGAGAGGAGCAGAGAGAGAGAGGGAGAGAGAGGGGAGGAGAGAGAGAGGAGAGAGAGAGAGATAGAGAGAGAGAGGAGAGAGAGAGAGGAGAGAGAGAGAGAGAGAGAGGAGAGGAGAGAGAGAGACTGAGGAGAGAGAGATTGAGAGAGAGAGAGAGAGAGAGAGAGAGAGAGAGAAGAGAGAGAGAGACAGGTAGGCAGACAGACAGACAGACGCATGCATGTCCACCAGCCTCCTGATGCACACACACAGAGATCCATGGGAGTGGTGGTAATCATGTAGCTGCTATAGTGAGAGCTGATGTTAGGCCCGTTGATAGCATGTCTGGCCTCAGACACAACAGTCAGCTAATCCTCCTGTCAACTCCAATCAGACAGATCTGAAAGTGGAGGCCTGGAATCTCAACATAGACACTACACTCTGAAACCTCACAACTGTGTGTGTGTGTGTGTGTGTGTGTGTGTGTGGTGTGTGGTGTGTGTGTGTGTGTGTGTGTGTGGTGTGTGTGTGTGTGTGTGTGTGTGTGTGTGTTGTGTCAGCAGTTTCCATCAGTGAATCACCCTACAACCCTGGAGCGGAGGTACCTGGCCATCCTGAGTGGCCTCATGCTGGATCTGATGAAGGTAACACACACAGACACACACACATAAAGACACACAGACACACAGAAACACACTTGATGGGGCACTGAATGTTCCGCCACATTATTGGTATTGCCAGTATTAGCACATTCTGGGTCCTCCAGGCTCAAACTAGACTAGTCCTGCTAATGGGAGGTATTCTGGGTCCTCCAGGCTCAAACTAGACTAGTCCTGCTAATGGAAGCTTTCTGAGTCCTCCAGGCTCAAACTAGACTAGCCCTGCTAATGGAAGATATTCTGGGTCCTCCAGGCTCAAACTAAACTAGTCCTGCTAGCTAATGTATGTCTATGACTAAAGCTGTGGGTTAGTCAGTACTCTGCTGTTAGCTAGGCCTGCAGTACATCACACTTTCCTCAGGAGATGAATCGTGTGACAAACCCTCCCACCCATCTCTCTGTCTCTGGATCGACATCGTGAAAAGCCACAACAATCTTGTTATTCTTATCATGGGCTGAGTCTCTGGCATTTCAATACAGCACGTGATAATGAATTAACAAATGTAACCGACAAATGTAGAGCTCTGCTTTAAGAATGCTGTAGCTCAGTTGGTAATGCATGGTGCTTGCAACGCCAGGGTTGTGGGTTCGATTCCCACAGGGAACCTGTACAAAAAAAGTATAAAAATATATGAACTCACTACTGTAAGTGGCTCTGGATAACAGTGTCTGCTAAATTACTCAAATATAAAAAATATATATATGTAATGAAAAAACAGTATTGTATATACAAAACAATAAACTTTGTCATGTCTACTCTGGCGCTCGTTGTCACCATTACGCACACCTGCCAACCATGGGACTCCATCACGTCATTGATTTCCTCCCCTATATCTGTCATTCCCCAGTCAGCATTGATGTTGTTATGGTTCTGATGTCCAGATGCTATTCTTGTTTTGTTTCATGTTTATTTATTAAATCCACACCCTGTACCTGCTTCTCGTCTCCCAGCGTCTGTCGTTACAAACTTGAATGATAGTTTAATGATAATAAAGAAACTTTTGATTGTGTTTTTTTTGGGGGGGGATGCCTCATGCATGGATAGAGTTTTGTGATTGTTTTTTTTTTATTGTCAAACTATAATAAAGAACTGTGTCCTAAACCTCTGTGGTCTGTCTCCTCCCTCACTAGAACCTGTTGTTGCTGGTCCCTTCTGACCGCTACCTGACAGAACACAGTCTGAACCACCCAGCCTTCCAGCCCCTCCGCCTCCTGGAGCAGCCCGCCCCAGCACCACCCTCCCCTAACCCCCCACGCTCCTCCAAGAGGAAGCCCCACAGCCACATGGAGAACACCGTGCCCACCAGGTCAGCACTGTAGGGTGTTGTTGTTGGTGTTGATGTTGTTGTTGTTCAGAACACCGTGCCCACCAGGTCAGCACTGTAGGGTGTTGTTGGTGTTGATGTTGTTGTTGTTCAGAACACACTGCCCACCAGGTCAGCACTGCACTGGACACTACAAGGGGTCTGGTTAAGTTCTGGATACTGCATGGGGTCACATCTGGCTTGTTGTTCTAGCACAGATAAAACAAGCTACTTAGATTTATGGATTACCTATACAGTGCCTTGCAAAGGTATTCATCCCCCTTGGCGTTTTTCCTATTTTGTTGCATTACAACCTGTAATTTAAATGGATTTTTATTTGGATTTCATGTAATGGACATACACAAAATAGTCCAAATTCGTGAAGTGAAATGAAAAAAATTACTTGTTTCAAAAAATTCTAAAAAATTAATAATGGAAAAGTGGTGCGTGCATATGTATTCACCCCCTTTGCTATGAAGCCCCTAAATAAGATCTGGTGCAACCAATTACCTTCAGAAGTCACATAATTAGTTAAATAAAGTCACCTGTGTGCAGTCTAAGTGTCACATGATCTCAGTATATATACACCTGTTCTGAAAGGCCCCAGAGTCAGTATATATACACCTGTTCTGAAAGGCCCCAGAGTCAGTATATATACACCTGTTCTGAAAGGCCCCAGAGTCTGCAACACCACTAAGTAAGGGGCACCACCAAGCAAGCGGCACCATGAAGACCAAGGAGCTCTCCAAACAGGTCAGGGACAAAGTTGTGGAGAAGTACAGATCAGGGTTGGGTTATAAAAAAATATCTGAAACTTTGAACATCCCACGGAGCACCATTAAATCCATTATAAAAAAATGGAAAGAATATGGCACCACAACAAACCTGCCAAGAGAGGGCCGTCCACCAAAACTCACAGACCAGGCAAGGAGGGCATTAATCAGAGAGGCAACAAAGAGACCAAAGATAACCCTGAAGGAGCTGCAAAGCTCCACCTCGGAGATTGGAGTATCTGTCCATAGGACCACTTTAAGCCGTACACTCCACAGAGCTGGGCTTTACGGAAGAGTGGGCAGAAATAGGCCATTGCTTAAAGAAAAAAATAAGCAAACACGTTTGGTGTTAGCCAAAAGGCATGTGGGAGACTCCCCAAACATATGGAAGAAGGTACTCTGGTCAGATGAGACAAAAATTTAGCTTTTTGGCCATCAAGGAAAACGCTATGTCTGGTGCAAACCCAACACCTTTCATCACCCCGAGAACCCCATCCCCACAGTGAAGCATGGTGGTGGCAGCATCATGCTGTGGGGATGTTTTTGATCGGCAGGGACTGGGAAACTGGTCAGAATTGAAGGAATGATGGATGGTGCTAAATACAGGGAAATTCTTGAGGGAAACCTGTTTCAGTCTTTCAGACATTTGAGACTGGGACGGAGGTTCACTTTCCAGCAGGACAATGACCCTAAGCATACTGCTAAAGCAACACTCGAGTGGTTTAAGGGGAAACATTTAAATGTCTTGGAATGGCCTAGTCAAAGCCCAGACCTCAATCCAATTGAGAATCTGCGGTATGACTTAAAGATTGCTGTACACCAGCGGAACCCATCCAACTTGAAGGAGCTGGAGCAGTTTTGCCTTGAAGAATGGGCAACAATCCCAGTGGCTAGATGTGCCAAGCTTATAGAGACATACCCCAAGAGACTTGCAGCTATAATTGCTGCAAAAGGTGGCTCTACAAAGTATTTACTTTGGGGGGGTGAATAGTTATGCACGCTCAAGTTTTCTGTTTTTTGTCTTATTTCTTGTTTGTTTCAGAAAAAAAAATATTTTGCATCTTCAAAGTGGTAGGCATGTTGTGTAAATCAAATGATACAAACCTCCAAAAAATCAATTTTAATTCCAGGCTGTAAGGCAACAAAATAGGAAAAATTCCAAGGGGGGTGAATACTTTCACAAACCACTGTACATGTACCTTATCTCTCAATCTCAATATCTCTCGATCTTATACCCCCCCCCCCCCCCCCCCAGAAGCCACGGCAGTAAGAGCTCAGGTCACCGTCACTCTAACAGTAAGGAATGTTCCAGCCTGCCTCGCCATGGCGACCTTCTCCTAGGCAACGACAGCTTCCTGAACGGCAACAAGCCTGTGTCGTCCAGCCTGAGCCCCACTCTCCACCCCAAGGCCTACATGACCCAGACCCTCAACCGCTCCGTCTCCTATAGTAAGGACTTGGTCAACAACAACATGCCACACCTGCTCAGCCCCAAGGACACCAAGGTAAACAGCATCAGGACCCCGACTTTCATTGACTTATTCAAACAAACTTGTTTACATCAATTGTATTCATTTAGTTTTTCTCTAACTGTCTATGTCCTGACCAGTGCAGTCGTGGTCAAAAGTTTTGAGAATGACACAAGTTTTGGTCTTCACAATGTTCGCTGCTTTAGTGTTATGAGATATTTTTGTCAGATGTTACTATGGTATACTGAAGTATAATTACAAGCATTCCATAAGTGTCAAAGGCTTTTATTAACAATTACATTAAGTTTATGCAAAGAGTCAATATTTGCAGTGTTGACCCTTCTTTTTCAAGACCACTGCAATCCGGCCTGGCATGCTGTCAATTAACTTCTGGGCCACATCCTGACTGATGGCAGCCCATTCTTGCATAATCAATGCTTGGAGTTTGTCAGAATTTGTGTGGTTTTGTTTGTCCACCCGCCTCTTGAGGATCGACCACAAGTTCTCAATGGGATTAAGGTCTGGGGAGTTTCCTGGCCATGGACCCAAAATCTTAAATAAACATGCCCCATTCAAAAAATACAGAACTAAGAACCGATATAGCCCCTGGTTCTCCTCAGACTTGACTGCCCTTGACCAGCACAAAAACATCCTGTGGCGTACAGCATTAGCATCAAATAGCCCCCGCGATATGCAACTTTTCAGGGAAGTTAGGAACCAATATACACAAGCAGTCAGGAAAGCAAAGGCTAACTTTTTCAAACAGAAATTTGCATCCTGTAGCACTAACTCCAAAAAGTTTTGGGACACTGTAAAGTCCATGGAGAATAAGAGCACTTCCTCCCAGCTGCCCACTGCACTGAGGCTAGGAAACACTATCACCACCGATAAATCTACAATAATCGAGAATTTCAACAAGCATTTTGCTACAGCTGGCCATGCTTTCCATCTGGCTACCACCAACCCGGCCACCAACTCTGCACCCTCTGCTGCAACTTGCCCATGCCCCCCCCCCCGCTTCTCCTTCACACAAATTCAGACAGCTGATGTTTTGAAAGCGCTGCAAAATCTGGACCCCTACAAATCAGCTGGGCTAGACAATCTGGACCCTTTCTTTCTAAAACTAGCCGCCGAAATTGTCGCAACCCCTATTACTAGTCTGTTCAACCTCTCTTTCATAACGTCTGAGATCCCCAGAGATTGGAAAGCTGCCGCGGTCATCCCCCTCTTCAAAGGGGGTGACACTCTAGATCCAAACTGCTACAGACCTATATCCATCCTGCCCTGCCTTTCGAAAGTATTTGAAAGCCAAGTTAACAAACAGATCACCGACCATTTCGAATACCACCGTACCTTCTCCGCTATGCAATCCGGTTTCCGAGCTGGTCACGGGTGCACTTCAGCCACGCTCAAGGTCCTAAACGATATTATAACCACGATTGATAATAGACAGTACTGTGCAGCCGTCTTCATCGACCTGGCCAAGGCTTTCGACTCTGTCAACCACCGCATTCTTATTGGCAGACTAAATAGCCTTGGTTTCTCAAATGACTGCCTCGCCTGGTTCACCAACTACTTCTCAGATAGAGTTCAGTGTGTCAAATCGGAGGGCCTGTTGTCTGGACCTATGGCAGTCTCTATGGGGGTGCCACAGGGTTCAATTCTTGGGCCGACACTTTTCTCCGTGTATATCAATGATGTCGCTCTTGCTGCTGGTGACTCTCAGATCCACCTCTACGCAGACGACACCATTTTGTATACATCTGGCCCTTCATTGGACACTGTGTTAACAAACCTCCAAACGAGCTTCAATGCCATACAACAATCCTTCAGTAGCCTTCAACTGCTCTAAAACACTAGTAAAACTAAATGCATGCTTTTCAATCGAACGCTGCTAGCACCCGCCCACCCGACTAGAATCACCACTCTCGACGGGTCTGACCTAGAGTATGTGGACAACTACAAATATCTAGGTGTCTGGTTAGACTGTAAACTCAACTTCCAGACTCACATAAAGAATCTCCAATCCAAAGTTAAATCTAGAATCGGCTTCCTATTTCGCAACAAAGCCTCCTTCACTCATGCTGCCAAACATGCCCTCGTAAAACTGACTATCCTACCGATCCTTGACTTCGGCGATGTCATTTACAAAATAGCCTCCAACACTCTACTCAGCAAATTGGATGTAGTCTATCACAGTGCCATCCGTTTTGTCTCCAAAGCCCCATACACTACCCACCACTGTGACCTGTACGCTCTTGTTGGCTGGTCCTCACTACATGTTCGTCGTCAAACCCACTGGCTCCAGGCCATCTATAAATCACTGCTAGGCAAATCCCCGCCTTATCTTAGCTCATTGGTCACCATAGCAGCACCCACCCGTAGTCTGCGCTCCAGCAGGTATATCTCACTGGTCATTCCCAAAGCCAACACCTCCTTTGGCCGCCATTCCTTCCAGTTCTCTGCTGCCAATGACTGGAACGAATTGCAAAAATCTCTGAAGCTGGAGACTTTTATCTCCCTCAATAACTTTAAGCATCAGCTGTCAGAGCACCTTACCGATCACTGCACCTGTACACAGCCCATCTGAAATTAGCCCACCCAACTACCTCATCCCTATATTGTTATTTATTTTGCTCTTTTGCACCCCAGTATCTCTATTTGCACATCATCTCTTGCACATCTAGCATTCCAGTGTTAATACTATTGTAATTATTCTGCACTATAGCCTATTTATTGCCTTACCTCCATAACTTGCTACATTTGCACACACTGTATATATATTTTCTGTTGTATTTCTGACTTTATGTTTTTTTTTTTTTTTACCCCATATGTAACTCTGTGTTGTTTTTATTGCACTACTTTGCTTTATCTTGGCCAGGTCGCAGTTGTAAATGAGAACCTGTTCTCAACTGGCTTACCTGGTTAAATAAAGGTGAAATAAAAAATAAATAAAAAAATAAAAAATGTTGATGTTCTGTTCCCCGAGCCACTTAGTTATCACTTTTGCCTTATGGCAAGGTGCTCCATCATGCTGGAAAATGCATTGGTCGTCACCAAACTGTTCTTGGATGGTTGGGAGAAGTTGCTCTTGGAGGATGTGTTGGTACCATTCTTTATTCATGGCTGTGTTCTTAGGCAAAATTGTGAGTGAGCCCACTCCTTGGCTGAGAAGCAACCTGGTCTCAGGATGCTTTACTGTTGGCATGACACAGGACTAATGGTAGCGCTCACCTTGTCTTCTCCGGATAAGGTGTTTTCCGGATGCCCCAAACAATCGGAAAGGGGATTCATCAGAGAAAATGACTTTATCCCAGTCCTCAGCAGTCCAATCCCTGTACCTTTTGAAGAATATCAGTCTGTCCCTGATGTTTTTCCTGGAGAGAAGTGGCTTTTTTGCTGCCCTTCTTGACACCAGGCCATCCTCCAAAAGTCTTCGCCTCACTGTGCGTGCAGATGCACTCACACCTGCCTGCTGCCATTCCTGAGCAAGCTCTGCACTGGTGGTGCCCCGATCCCGCAGCTGAATCAACTTTAGGAGACGGTCCTGGCACTTGCTGGACTTTCTTGGGCGCCCTGATGCCTTCACAACAATTGAACCTCCTTTAAGTTCTTGATGATCCGATAAATGGTTGATTTAGGTGCAATCTTACTAGCAGCAATATCCTTGCCTGTGAAGACCTTTTTGTGCAAAGCAATGATGACGGCACGTGTTTCCTTGCAGGTAACCATGGTTAACAGAGGAAGAACAATGATTTCAAGCACCACCCTCCTTTTAAAGCTTCCAGTCTGTTATTCTAACTCAATCAGCATGACAGAGTGATCTACAGCCTTGTCCTCGTCAACACTCTCACCTGTGTTAACGAGAGAATCACTGACATGATGGCAGCTGGTCTTTTGTGGCAGGGCTGAAATGCAGTGGAAATGTTTTTGGGGGATTAAGTTAATTTTCATGGCAAAGAGGGACTTTGCAATTAATTGCAATTCATCTGATCACTCTTCATGACATTCTGGAGTATATGCAAATTGCCATCATCAAAACCGAGGCAGCAGACTTTGTGAACATTTTTATTTGTGTCATTCTCAAAACTTTTGACCACGACTGTATGTTCATATTAATGCACAAGGCTGCAGACTCCATGGGGACAATAAAGTCATTAATTATCTTGTCTTATTTTATCTTCTCTTTATTTTAAAGGGCACGACACAGTTTGACTTCAACCTGGTTGGTGTTGGGCCCCCAGGGGCCAAGGCTCCTGACCAGCAGGGCCCTGGAGCTATGTATGTGAAGTCCACCTCCCGTTCTCAGCAGCAGCAACAGCAAGGTCAGGGGTCATCCTACTGAAACATTCACATAAGATGAATACATACCAGTTCCTTAATACTTAAAATGAAAACTGCTATAGACTAGAATCCTGTCCAGGGGGTATACTTGAACAGCTGCCTTACTCTACAGAAACAGGAGAGAGGCTCCTGCCCTATGGGCCGTTCTGGTTCACTATACAGAAATAGGATATACGCTCCTGCCCTATGGGCCGTTCTGGTTCACTCTACAGAAACAGGAGAGAGGCTCCTGCCCTATGGGCCGTTCTGGTTCACTACAGAAACAGGATATACGCTCCTGCCCTATGGGCCGTTCTGGTTCATGCTACAGAAACAGGAGAGAGGCTCCTGCCCTATGGGCCGTTCTGGTTCACTCTACAGAAACAGGAGAGAGGCTCCTGCCCTATGGGCCGTTCTGGTTCACTCTACAGAAACAGGAGAGAGGCTCCTGCCCTATGGGCCATTCTGGTTCACTCTAACAGAACAGGAGAGAGGCTCCTGCCCTATGGGGCCGTTACTGGTTCACTCTACAGAAACAGGAGAGAGGCTCCTGGCCCTATGGGCCGTTCTGGTTCACTCTACAGAAACAGAGGAGAGGCTCCTGCCCTATGGGCCGTTCTGGTTCATGCTACAGAAATAGGATATACGCTCCTGCCCTTAATGGGCCCGTTTCTGGGTTCATGTGCTACGATAATAGGATATACTCACAGCGTCAGCCGTCGGGATTTTCGCGTCACTCCGGTTCGTCTGTCTCTGTCGTTTCCTGCCACTATGGGCCGTTTTCTGGTTCAACTCTACAGAAACATGAGAGAGGCACCTGCCCCTATGGGCCGTTCTGGTCCATCTAGCAGAAACATGAAGAGGCACCTGCCCTATGGGCCGTTCTGGTTCACTACAGACACAGGAGATAGGCTCCTGCCGCTTAAATGGCCGTTCTGGTTCTTCTACAAAACGGAGAGAGGCATGTAGGCCTGCCCTATGGGCCGTTTTCTGGTTTCACTCTACAGAAACAGGAGAGAGCGTCCTGCCCTATGGCCGTTTCTGGTCCACTCTACAGAACAGGAGAGAGGGCTCCTGCCCGATGGGTGCCGTTCTGGTCCACTCTAAAAACAGGAGATAGGCTCCTGCCCTATGGGCCGTTCTGGTTCACTCTACAGAAACAGGAGAGAGGCACCTGCCCTATGGGCCGTTCTGGTTCACTCTACAGAAACAGGAGAGAGGCTCCTGCCCTATGGGCCGTTCTGGTTCATGCTACAGAAATAGGATATACGCTCCTGCCCTATGGGCCGTTCTGGTTCACTCTACAGAAACAGGAGAGAGGCACCTGCCCTATGGGCCGTTCTGGTCCACTCTACAGAAACAGGAGAGAGGCACCTGCCCTATGGGCCGTTCTGGTTCACTACAGAAACAGGATATACGCTCCTGCCCTATGGGCCGTTCTGGTTCATCTACAGAAACAGAGAGAGGCTCCTGCCCTATGGGCCGTTCTGGTTCACTTCTACAGAAACAGGAGAGAGGCTCCTGCCCTATGGGCCGTTCTGGTTCACTCTACAGAAACAGGAGAGAGGCTCCTGCCCTATGGGCCGTTCTGGTTCACTCTACAGAAACAGGAGAGAGGCTCCTGCCCTATGGGCCGTTCTGGTTCACTCTACAGAAACAGGAGAGAGGCTCCTGCCCTATGGGCCGTTCTGGTCCACTCTACAGAAACAGGAGAGAGCCTCCTGCCCTATGGCCGTTCTGGTTCACTCTACAGCAAAACAGGAGATATCTCCTGTCCCTATGTTCGGTTTCGGTTTCAATGCTACAGAAATAGGATATACGCTCCTGCCCTATGGGCCGTTCTGGGTCAACAATGCTCAGAAATGAGGATATACGCCCTCCTGCCCTAATGTGCCGTTCTGGTTCACTCAACAGAAACGAACCCGAGGAGAGAGCAGACCTGCCCTAATTGGCCGTTCTGGTCCACTCTAAGAAACAGGAGAGAGGCACCTGCCCTATGGGCCGTTCTGGTTCACTCAAGAAACAGGAGAGAGAGGCTCCTCCTGCCCTTGCCCTTCTGGTTCATTCTACAGAACAGGAGATAGGCTTCCTCCCTATTGGGCCGGTCTGTTCACTCTACAGAAAATCAGGAGAGAGGCTCCTGCCCTATGGGCCTTTCTGGTCCACCTACGAAACAGAGATAGCTCTTCCTGCCCTATGGGCCGTTCTGGTCCACTCTACAGAAACAGGGAGAGGCTCCTGCCCTATGGGCCGTTCTGGTTCCCTTACAGAAACAGGAGAGAGGCTCCGGCCCTATGGGGCCATTCTGGGTTCATCTACAGAAAAGGAGAGAGGCTCCTGCCCTATGGGCCGTTCTGGTTCATCTACAGAAACAAGGAGAGAGGCCCTGCCCTATGGGCCGTTTCTGGTCACTCTACAGAAACAGAGAGAGGCACCTGCCCTATGGGCCGTTCTGGTTCCATCTACAGAAACAGGAGATGGCTCCCTGCCTATGGGCCGTTCTGGTTCAGCTACAGAAACAGGATAGAGGCTCCTGCCCTATGGGCCGTTCTGGTTCACTCTACAAAACAGGAGAGAGGCTCCTGCCCTATGGGCCTTTCTGGTTCACTCTCAGAAACAGGAGAGAGGCTCCTGCCCATGGGGCCGTTCTGGTTCACACTCTACAGAAACAGGAGAGAGGCTCCTGCCCTATGGGCCGTTGCTGGGTCCACTCTACAGAACGAGGAGAGAGGCTCTGCCCTATGTCCGTTCTGGTTACTCTACAGAAACAGGATAGAGGCTCCTGCCTTGGGCCGGTTTCTGTTCATGCACAGAAAAGGATATCCGCTCCTGCCCCTATGGGCCGTTCTGGTTCATGCTACGAAAAGATCTACGCTCCTGCCCTAGTGCCGTTCTGGTTCAACTCACAGAAACAGGAGAGAGGGCACCTGCCCTATGGGCCCGTTCTTGTTCCACTCTACGAAACAGGAGAGAGGCACCTGTGCCCTATGGGCCGTTTCTGGTTCACGTACAGAACAGGAAGAGGCTCCTGCTCCTATGGGCCGTTTCTGGTTTCATTCTACAGAAACGGAAGAGGCTCCGCCTATGGTCCGTTTCTGGTTCACTCTACAGAAACAGAGAGAGGCTCCTGCCCCTATGGCCGTTTCTGGTCAACTCATACAGACACAGGAGAGAGGCTCCTGCCCCTATGGGGCCCTTCTGTCCCTCTACAGAACAGGAGAGAAGCTCCTGCCCTATGGGTCGTTCTGGTTCCCCTTCTACAGAACCAGGAGAGAGGCTCCTGCCCTATGGGCCTTGTTCTGGTTCACTCTACAGAAACAGGAGAGGGCAACCTGCCCCTATGGGCGTTCTGGTTCCTACAGAAACAGGGAGAGAGGCGTCCTGCCTATGGGCCATTCTGTTTCATGTCTACAGAAAATAGGATATACGCTCCTGCCCTAGGCCTTTCTGGTTCCCTCTACAAAACAGGAGAGAGGCACCTGCCCTCTGGGCCGTTCTGGTCCACTCTACAGAAACAGGAAGAAGGCACCTGCCCTAGTGGGCCGTTCTGGTTTCACTACAGCAAACAGAGAGAGGGCTTCCTGCCTAGGGGCCGTTCGGGTTCACTCTAACAGACACAGGAGAGAGGCTCCTTCCCTATGGCCGTTCTGGTTCACACTCACAGAAAACAGGAAGAGATCCGGCCCTATGCCGTTCTTGATTCACTCTACAGAAACAGTATAGAGGCTTCCTGCCCTATGGGCGTTCTGGTCCACCTAGACAAGAACAGAGAGAGGCTCCTGCCCTATGGGCCGTTCTGGTCCACTCTACAGAAACAGATAGAAGCTCCTCCCTATGGTCCTTTCTGTTCCACTTCTACAGAAACAAGAGAGGGCTCCGCCCTATGGTCCGTTCTGGTTCACTCTAACCGAACATGAGAGAGGCACCTGCCCTATGGGCCGTTCTGGTTCACTACCGAACAGACTAGAGCTCCTGCCCTTGGGCCATTTCTGGTTCATCACATGCTACAGAAATGGATATCGCTCCTGCCTATGGCCGTTCTGGTTCAACTCGACAGAACAATGAGAGAGGCACCTGCCCCTATGGGCCGTTCTGGTCCCACTCCTACAGTCAAACAGGAGAGAGGCATCTGCCCTATGGGCCGTTCTGTTCACTACAGACCAGGAGAGAGGCTCCTGCCCTATGGCCTTCCTGGTTCCTCTACAGAACAGAGAGAGGCTCCTGCCCTATGGGCCGTTCTGGTTCACTCTACAGAAACAGGAGAGAGGCTCCTGCCCTATGGGCCGTTCTGGCTCAGGCAAGACTACTTACTTATATATAAAAAGAACTGGCAATACAAAAGTAAAGCACACCCTTGATGAAAATGTATTGAAATTACACTGCAACACAATACTAATACAATAAATGCATTGCAACCCATTTTTTACATTTGAACATTTCCAGTAGGGCAGGGACGACACTCTTCCTTTCTGGAGGGCAAGACCAATACCATGGAGAAACAACATGGCCGCCACGGTGGACACAACATAGACTCCACCCACAGCTCCTCCAAGAGTTCCAGCTCCTACCTGAGCCTGTCCAAGAGCCACAGCGCCCTGAGCAACAACGCCAAGTCTGTGGGTGGTAATCCTGGTGATGGGGTGAGGGGCATGCACCCTGACGACCCTATCGCAAACCGTGGAACTCGGCCCTCTTCTTGTCCAGCCATCTCATGATAAACCAGTTAGAGAAGAGCTGTCAGGGAATGGTTAACCTAGAGAGAGAGAGAGCTGTAAGGGAAGGGTTAACCTATATATATAGAGAGAGAGCTGTCAGGGAAGGGTTAACATATATTTATATATATATATAGAGAGAGAGCTGTCAGGGAAGGGTTAACCTAGAGAGAGAGCTGTCAGGGAATGGTTAACCTAGAGAGAGAGAGCTGTCAGGGATTGGTTAACCTAGAGAGAGAGAGATGTCAGGAACTTGTGTTAACCTAGATAAGAGAGAGCTGGTCAGTGGAATGGTTTAACCTTTCGATAGCTCAAGTGGTATTTCGTCACTGTGGTCCGGAGTCTCGTCAAGGTACTCGTGTCGTACTTGTTTTCTCCAGTCTCTTCATTGGGCGCCAATGTAGAGCGACCGTGGGCGCGAGTGCTGTCATGTGCTGTCAGGGAATGGTCACCTATAGGAGAGAGAGCTGTCAGGGAAATGGTTAAAACCTAGAGAGAGAGAGAGCTGTCAGGGAATGGTTAACCTATATATATAGAGAGAGAGCTGTCAGGGAAGGGTTAACCTATATATATAGAGAGAGAGAGAGCTTGTCAGGGAAGGAGAGCTGTCAGGAAATGGTTAACATAGAAAGAGAGAGCTGTCAGGAAATGGTTAAACTAGAGAGAGAGAGAGCTGTAAGGGAAGGGTTAACCTATATATATAGAGAGAGAGCTGTCAGGGAAGGGTTAACATATATTTATATATATATATAGAGAGAGAGAGAGCTGTCAGGGAAGGGTTAACCTAGAGAGAGAGCTGTCAGGGAATGGTTAACCAGAAGAGAGGAGGCTGTCATGGAAATGGTTAATCTAGAGAGAGAGAGAGCTGTCAGGAAATGGTTAACCTAGAGAGAGAGAGATGTCAGGGAATGGTTAACCTAGAGAGAGCGAGAGAGCTGTCAGGGAATGGTTAACCCTAGATAGAGGAGAGCTGTCAGGAATTGGTGTAACCTAGAGAGAGAAGATGTAGGAAGTGTTCACCTAAGAGAGAGAGAGAGAGCTGTCAGGGAATGGTTAACCTAGAGAGGGAGAGAGAGAGAGAGAGAGAGCTGTCAGGGAATGGTTAACCTAGAGAGAGAGAGCTGTCAATGAATGGTTAACCTAGAGAGAGAGAGCTGTCAGGGAATGGTTAACCTAGAGAGAGAGAGCTGTCAGGGAATGGTTAATGAATGTAGCTTAGTCTCCAACATTCAAGGGCATGCTAACTTATTGATCTTGTGTAGTCTTGGTGATGGTGTGTATTTGGAAATGTGTCTCCTGAGGCCAGGTGAACATTGTATTCTCGTTGAGAATTTGAGGTTTATGTAGGTCCGACGGCTAGTTAATACAGTTGAAGTTGGAAGTTTACATACACCTTAGCCAAATACATTTAAACTCAGTTTTTCACAATTCCTGACATTTAATCCTAGTAAAAATTCCCTGTTTTAGGTCAGTTAGGATCACCACTTTATTTTAAGAATGTGAAATGTCAGAATAATAGTAGAGAGAATTATTTATTTCAGCTTTTATTTCTTTCATCACATTCCCAGTGGGTCAGACGTTTACATACACTCAATTAGTATTTGGTAGCATTGCCTTTAAATTGTTTCACTTGGGTCAAACGTTTCGGTTAGCCTTCCACAAGCTTCCCACAATAAGTTGGGTGAATTTTGGCCCATTCCTCCTGACAGAGCTGGTGTAACTGAGTCAGGTTTGTAGGCCTCCTTGCTCGCACACGCTTTCTCAGTTCTGCCCACAAATGTTCTATAGGATAGGTCAGGGCTTTGTGGCCACTCCAATACCTTGACTTTGTTGTCCTTAAGCCATTTTGCCACAACTTTGGAAGTATGCTTGGGGTCATTGTCCTTTTGGAAGACCCATTTGCGACCAAGCTTTAACTTCCTGACTGATGTCTTCAGATGTTGCTTCGATATATCCACATAATTTTCCTTCCTCATGATGCCATCTATTTTGTGAAGTGCACCAGTCCCTCCTGCAGCAAAGCACCCCCACAGCATGATGCTGCCACCCCCATCCTTCACGGTTGGGATGGTGTTCTTCGGCTTGCAAGTTACCCCCTTTTTCCTCCAAACATAACGATGGTCATTATGGCCAAACAGTTCTATTTTTGTTTCATCAGACCAGAGGACATTTCTCCAAAAAGTACGATCTTTGTCCCCATGTGCAGTTGCAAATCGTAGTCTGGCTTTTTTAAGGCAGTTTTGGAGCAGTGGCTTCTTACTTGCTGAGCGGCCTTTCAGGTTATGTCGATATAGGACTCGTTTTACTGTGGATATAGATACTTTTGTACCTGTTTCCTCCAGCATCTTCACAAGGTCCTTTGCTGTTGTTCTGGGATTGATTTGCACTTTTCGCACCAAAGTACGTTCATCTCTAGGAGACAGAACGCGTCTCCTTCCTGAGCGGTATGACGGCTGCGTGGTCCCATGGTGTTTATACTTGTGTACTATTGTTTGTACAGATGAACGCGGTACCTTCAGGCGTTTGGAAATTGCTCCCAAGAATGAACCAGACTTGTGGAGGTCTACAATTTTTTTTCTGAGGTCTTGGCTGATTTATTTTGATTTTCCCATGATGTCAAGCAAAGAGGCACTGAGTTTGAAGGTAGGCCTTGAAATACATCCACAGGTACACCTCCAATAGGCTAATTGACATAATTTGAGTCAATCAGAAGCTTCTAAAGCCATGACATAATTTTCTGGAATTTTCCAAGCTGTTTAAAGGCACAGTCAACTTAGTGTATGTAAATTTCTGACCCACTGGAATTGTGATACAGTGAATTATAAGTTAAATAATCTGTCTGTAAACAATTGTTGGAAAAATTACTTGTGTCATGCACAAAGTAGATGTCCTAACCGACTTGCCTAAACTATAGTTTGTTAACAAGAAATGTTTGGAGTGGTTGAAAAAATAGTTTTAATGACTCCAACCTAAGTGTATGCAAACTTCCGACTTCAACTGTATGTGTGTTGTTGTACTCATGGTTGAGCTAACTCTATATGTTATTTCAGCTGCCTGGACCTGAACCTCAACGCCCCCCCTGGAAGTCCCCAGGCCCCCCGCCACAGCGAACGCCACTCTTCTGGCCACGCCCCCCCTGGAAGTCCCCAGGCCCCCCGCCACAGCGAACGCCACTCTTCTGGCCACGCCCCCCCTGGAAGTCCCCAGGCCCCCCGCCACAGCGAACGGCACTCTTCTGGCCACACCTCCAGCCACACCGGCCACTCCTCCGGCCACAGCCCCTCGTCCCGCAGCAACAACCCCCGCCTGGAGAGCTCCACCCTGGACTCATCCTGCCGACGCACTTCCTCCTCCAGACACAAAGCTCCAGAGGAGGCCAAGGCCCCGGGCCCGGAGCTTCTTGACCCAGGAGGAGAAGGGGACGGTGGGGGGAACCATGGAGCTCACACCCTGGCCTCCCCCCATGAGTCATACCCCTACGGCCTGGGCTACACCAGTCCTTTCTCTTCCCAGCAGAGGCCCCACCGCCACTCCATGTACGTGAGGAGGAGTGAGCGCCACAGGCCCCACGGAGGTGGGGGTGGAGGGGGTAGTGAGGGGGGCTTAGTGGTGGGGCAGGGGTTGCCCACCAGGGCTAGCAGTCTGCAGATGCTCTCCCCCCAGCTTCAGCACCGCACCCTCACCAGACACTCCGTAGGACACTCTGTGGGATCGTCCAGAGAGGATTGCACTGACGACATGGTCAGGGTCAGTGGCAATAATTGACTGACAGCAGTCATTGTGTGTGTGTGTGCGTGCGTGTATGTGTGTGTGTGTGTGTGTGTGTGTGTGTGTGTGTGTGTGCGTGCGTGCGTGTGTGTGTGAGTGTCTGTGTATCTCTCTTTGAGGCAGAATCGTAGCTACCTGGCCTAACTCTCATTATTGCTAATGTACTGTCTCTCTCCTGATCTCTCTCTCTCACACACACACACACACACACACACTGCTGCTTCATACTGTCTGCCTCACATGCTATATCTGTCTGTCTGTGTCTGTCTGTCTATCTGTATCTGTCTGTCTGTCTGTCTATCTGTCTGTCCATCTGGTCTACAGAGTGAGCCGTCTTCTAAAGAGGTGGTGACCTCTCACCCCCGACCCCAGATTAAAGACTCCACGCGGGACAACCCGGCCTCCTTTCACTCACAACGCCCTGCTAAGAACGAGGTCCATAGCTTTTTCTGTTGTTCAGCACAGGCTGATTTCACCGCTTACCGCCTGGCTGCTGAATGCTTCTATCAGTGTTTTATCTGCACTGTGTCTATCACTGAGAGCTGCTAAACGTGGCATCACTGAACTGAATGGGTTTAATGGGAAATAAACAATGATAAAAATGTAGGAGTGAGATATCATCTTTGGGAAAGTAACGAGGGAAGACATTGTGTGAAAAGAGCTCATGTTAGATCTTGCTACAGAAACATGATAATTGGATCAATAAGCATGGCTCAACATAGTATTTCCAACTGTGCTGTGTTTGTGGTGTACTGTAGGTACCAGTGGGTATGTACCATGAGCCCCACCCAGAGGACCCAGTCTCCTCCAAGGAGAACCGGATGATCTTCAGTGACTCCATGCCCAGACGGGTAGGAAGCTTCTACAGAGGTACGTAGAGAGAGAGAGAGAGACAGAGAGAGAGAGAGAGAGAAACACTGTATATATACATAATATGACATTTGAAATGTCTTTATTCTTTTGAAACTTCTGAGTGTAATGTTTACTGTTAATATTTATTGTTTATTTCACTTTTGTGTGGAAACATACGTTAACCATGCCAATAAAGCCCTTCAATTGAATTGAGAGAGAGAGAGAGAGAGAGAGAGAGAGAGAGAGAGAGAGAGAGAGAGAGAGAGAGAGAGAGAGAGAGAGATCCTTCTCTGAAAGTTTCTTCTTCTCTTTGTGTTCCAGTGCCCTCTCCCAGGCCAGACAACTCCTCGTCCTTCCATGATGGTGGAGCTCAGAGGGAGAGCAGAGGACCGCCGGGGCCAGGGGACCCAGGTGTCATGAACAACCACTCCAAACGCCAGACTGCCTTTGACTGGTGAGCTGTAAATCATTGGATCTGATCTACAACGAATGAATGAACAAACGAAAGAACCAACGAATGAATGACATTGACTCTGGGTGAGCGTGGGATGAGCAAACTCCCTGAGGTAATGTCTAGGCTTTAGCTCAGCGAGCTAACACAGTCTTGGTGTCCTGGCCTCTTCAGGAGTACTGCAGAGGCAATGGTGATGAACCAACCAGAGCCGGCGAAAGAGAAGGAGAAACAGGGTTTCTTCAGATCAATGAAGAAGAAGAAGAAGAAACCAACCAATACGGTAGGGTTTCCCCCTCC